CATCTCCCGGCTACAGCTGCAGCGAGAGGTGTCGAAACACGCTTTTTTAATAATAAGGTAACCAGTACAGATCTGCAGACTGAAACAGTTCAGAAATATTAACGCAACACTCATTTTTGGAGATTTCACCCCAAAGGGAGAAGGTGAATTGCAATCACAAGCACTGCAGCCGTTACGTCTGGTTATTTGCTAATACAAATTCTTTCCAAAATCCTTTGGCTCATTAGAAATAGCCCAGATTAAACCCCGCAGTTGCATGAATCCCCGAACATCTTGGGAACATCCACTGCCTGTCGTACTCTTCATTCCTCCCCCAAACAAGAAGATTTATAGGACATTTAGGAAGATAACCCCCTCGCCGACAGCCCGGGAGCTCCCCAAAGCCCGGGCAGCAGCTTCAGAGCTGCAAGACCACAAAACTCGCGTGCCACCACTGCCCTCTGCCGCAGCGCGTCCCGGTCCCGTCCGCCTCGGCAGCGGCATCGTCTCGGGGGGATACTGCAGAAAACAGGACAGTTTCTTAATTAAAACCCGCACGAGCTTCCCCCCACCCCCAAATACCTTGTGCTTTTGGTAATCTTTCTCCCCCACCCCGTCCAATCATCCCCCCCGCAGACCCGCCTTACGGCGTGAGGTTTTTCTAACAGCCTTTTGGACTCACACACCCAAAGCTTCTGGTTTTGAAAACTTCAGGTCTTCATGTGCGTTTTTTAAAAACCATTTCTTAAAACCTGGTTTAAACATCAGTAAACAACCACCAGATTTATGGTGAATTGGGGGGGTGTCTTGGGTGTCGGTTTCTTTTCTTTTACCTAATCGCTCACAGACAAAGCAAATAATCAAAAGGCTACAAAATCCTTCTTTTGCAATAACGGGAGGAGTGTAATACAGAAAATAAAAATTGTGGTTATGTGTTCACATCGGGCTGTTGCCACATACTTTTTACTTTTTTTTTCCTTTGAGTAATACACTGCAAAACACAGATTTTACCAACAAGTGCATTTGTAATATCCTTAGTGAAAAAAAGCAAGAAATTAATACCATCTGAACAACTTCCATTTCATACTAAGAGGGGATTTCAACACTTGCTTTTTAAACCGGCAATTACTCATTGCCCTTCCTTTAAAATAATTAATAACACTTGTAACCTGCTCACGTCAAGTAAAACGTAGAACTGAGCATACGGACTCGGGGTGAATTGTGCTGTTGCAGCAGGAGCTCCTCTTACCATCTTTTCCAGTCCTGACAATTTTTGTTATGAGATGCCTGTACAGGTCTTTCACGAACAGGAAAGGGCTAGGTTGTACACCAGAACTTGAGTTCTGCTATAAATTCATTTTCTATTCTTTTACCCCAGGGGATAACGCGCAGGACATAGGAAAAGCCCCCGGCGCTTCCACAGCTGCAAAGGCACGCAGAACCGTATGTCTCAACACCAGAAACCTCCCGATAGCAAAAAATATCAAATAGGGTGGACCAAGCCCGTATTAGGTAAAACTATATTAGGTGATTAAACCGTGATTTAAATACCGTAATATTAATCCATCACATATGCAGCAACTCTAAGCGAACCTCAGCAGAAGCGCAGGCACAGCTAAATGAAATAATACTGAAGTCTCATTAATTGTGCACCAATTCTTTCCTTCTCATCCTGCTCTTCGTTTCTTCCTCTCTTCTCCACTTGCCCCTTTTGAAGCTATTTCTGCTGTGCTGGGCTCCCTCGGGACTGCTCACCACAGAGAGGGGCCCGCTCCAGGCTGAACGCCGTCGTTGCTGAAGCTGATGAGTCCCCTACAGCCAGGGAGACTCGTTTCGTTATTCCCGGGAAGACGGAGACCAATACAGCGTTTCCTTGCCAAAAGGTAACAAAATGCAAGACTTCAGAGAGCAAAAAGCTGAACTTCATTTCAACGCACGTTCCCGAGTCCTGGGAAAGCCTTGCAGGGGCTGCTAGCAAACAGCAACCATCCCCCAAAATAAAAAATGAAATGATTTTATTATACCTGCATGTTTAATACACCTGTATTACAAACCCACCCACAACTGGTTAAGGCATCTAAAAACAGGGAAAGCCTTTTGCTCGGAAATCCCTCGCCATTAAGAGAGTCCTGTTAGTGCAAGAGCAGACCAACAACATGGGGTCCAGTTTGTTTCTACTAAACGTGCCTGACATCCCACCCACAGACCCGAATCCATAATTTTGGAGCAACATGGGTCAAAACTCAAGAGCCGACCATCTTGGCCAGTCAAAACCAAAGTTAATTGCAAGGAACCTGATATCAAGTAATATATTAGTCACTCATCGCCTGCAATTTTATCTGGAATATTCCAGTAAGCCACACTATCAGAAGTGCACCTTTTCACAGTCCACTGGAGACACGGGCTAATACTCAACAGAGCCTCAAGGAAGGGAAAGGAAAAAAAAAAAAAAAAAAAAAAAAAGATTTCTGCAGTACAGAAAATTACTTCAAGCCTTCAAGCAGGGTGCAGAAACAGGACGTGAATAATAAGCAGCACAGAACAGTAAGGTCAAAACTTGGTTTTTCTATTTGGAACACCCCCACCCCCCCAGATTTCAAATGCAAAGCAGAACCAGGGCCTCACCCGGTCTGGCACTGGGGTAATTCCCATCACGGGTGGCCGTGCATTGGGAAACCCTGGAAGCACCCGTCGGCAGCCCCCTGGCACGCTGCCTCAGTAGCCCAAGCTTTGGGGCACCGTGCCCGGTGAGCAGCCAGGAGCTGAGGTTTTCCCTGCCACTGGCCAAAATCAAAACAAGCTTTGGACAGAGTATTGTTTCAGAGTTGATGGAATGTCACCAAAATCAAGAACAGTGTCTCAGTCACAATTTTCAGATCAGAAAATACTAATAAAATTTGCTGATCGGCAAAAAAATGATGATACCTTTAGATGTCCAAAACGACTGACAAAATGCCATAAAATTTTCTCAGCATCAGGATTGCGGTAGCGATATAAAATTAGCGCTAATAACTCAAGAAAGGAACTGAAGATCATCCACCTGAGGATCACTCAACTTTGAGGAGAGGCCAGGAGCACCCCAACCAGCCGCGCCCCAGCCACGGGGCCGACGCTCCCGCTTCCCGCCGGAGCCCCGGGCAGCACGCTCATTCCTGACCTGCGGCAGCGATTCAGAGGCAGGGAAGTCCCACTTTCTCCACCGTCCGACGCGAGGGTAGGAAAGTCAGGTCAGCAGGGCTTTCTTCAGCAGGTCTTGCTGCTCGTCCAACGCCCAGGTCTGTCACAAGAGTTTTGCTTCCGCAAATCCACCACGACTGCCCTACGCAATGGAACTGTGCGAACTGCAGCCGTGATTTAACATCTCCGCCTCTGACTCCCTCCAGAAAGCAGCAGAACGACCTTCCCCTCCTCCGTAATGGTGTGTGACTTGGGCAGAAAAGACAAGAGGGACGCCCGCGGCGAGGGGTAGGCGCTGAAACCCAAGGCGTTTGCGCGGCCGCTCCCTTCGCTGGAAACAGCGGCTTTTCACCGAAGACCTGTGCCTGTCTCCTGGACGGACCGGCCGTTCAAAGCAAAATGAAATCAGCAGTTTAAAGAAATGCTAAAGGAATTTATTGGAACACAGTGCCTGTAAGATTAATGCAGCTATTTTTATTTCCCCAGCTTTGTGGAAAATAACTTTCTTTTTCCCTAAATGTCACCTTAAAAGGTGAACAGTATTTGGTCAGAGTATACGCAGTTTAAACCTTTTATTGACAATCCGTGCTAAAATTAGCCCCGTTTCACTGGCAACAATTGTAACACTTCTCCAATGATGCAATAAGCACATAACACCACTATCATCAAATTAAGGATTAAATAATATATAGATTTTTTTTTTTAATCATCCTCAGCAGCAGGGAAGGCAGCAGGAAGCTGATCAAGGAAACATTTTTACCAAAGTTTTCAATGGAAACGCCAGCTGGCTAAGGAAGGGAGTATTTTAGTCAAAGGCAAACAAAACATCTACCTCAAACCCAGCCGTGCAGGGTGTTCACGGAGGGTGCAGAAGGGATTCGGTTCCCCTTTCTGGCTGACGGGCGTTCAGCCCTGCGACTGCCGCGTCCCGGGCGCGGGCCCTGCGTTAGGCTGGAGCTGTTCTGGGCTGACCGATCTCTCCTTGTCCCTCTCCCCTCAAAGCTCACTTCCATCTCAATGCCGGATGGGAACCTTTCTGAAGTTTCAAGAAGTTGTAAAAGAAAAAAAAAAAAAAATCTACGTTTCATTTGGGGAATGCGATCTACACCTTGTAAAAGTGCTACGCAGCAATTTTTCGAGTTTCCAAGGGTAGAACTGACACTTGAGGAAAAACAAAACCCACACACACACCTTAAACCAACTTTGTGACTTTTATTGATGGGCGACAACTTTATACTTCTAGATATCACTAAACTGTGTACAATTAGGAACTCAACATTATAGGAGAGCAGACAGCAAAATTAAACAAAGCAGACTTAAAGAAATATCAATCTTAATTATTTTGCCCATTTTTTTAATTTCATGTACACAGAAGCATAAATGCAGTTTGAAATTTCTTAATAGCAATAAAGTTACAATCACCCATCTATATAGACTAACATCTTAACTCCAAATATTTGATCTGCAATGTGTACTTAAGCAGTTTCTCATCGCACAATTATTAAAATGTGTCCTCCTATTAGGAACCAGCAACTCTGCGTTTTGTACGTTTGTACATTTTTTGAAGCACATAGGACCATTTCCATCTCATACACATCGGCTCATATTTTACCACTTATCAAAAACTATTGGGGAAGCAGAGAGCGCTTTTTATTTTTTTTATTTTTTTTTATTTTTTTTACTTAAGTAAAGATAAAACATTTTCACAGAAATCTACAAGTTCTGTTGCTGGTGCAGGGCTTTCTTCTACTACGCAATTAGAAAGTGGGAATCAAATGCAAATCCCCTTTTATCATCTTAGGATTCAGCATTAACTCAGACTAATTTTTTTTTTATTTTTTTTTTTTTTGTGATTCGTGAGACTGAGTCTTTCAACCAAGTGACTTCATTCTGCAAAGTCAAAAGCCAACACAAACTATGTTGTGCACAAACCCAAGGTAGTTTCCTTTATCACTCTATCCCATAGTTGCAAGGGAAAAAAAAAAGAAAAAAAGAAAAAAAAAGAAAAAAGATTCACTCAAAAGAGCATTTACAGAAGAAAAAAAAGTTAGTGATAGTTGGCGTTCTACAAAGCAGGTATCTTGCACACACAGCGTAAAAGGGGAAAGTTTCACAGCAGGTCAACTCGGCGGTAGTACAGGAGGTAGGCTGTGCGTTCTGCAGACGGCTTCACCACCTGGTACTGGTTGATCACTTTGACTGCCTGGTCATCGATGCGTAACCAGCCATTTAGACCAATTTGGAAGACGTCCGTAGTGTAATGGCCACCAGTTGCGCTGTTTCCATGATGATAGACAACTGCAAAGAGAAATTCATGATGCACATATACGCTATACATAGATAAATAGCCGCTGAAAAGTAAATCAAGAAAAAAAAATGTCACGTATTGCTTTCTTCATAGCATACTCATGGTTTTGCAGATGGTACGACCTGGCTCAAGCAAGAATCTTTTACATTCGATGCTATGGAATATTAGTAATGTTTCTCCAGCATACCAAATCTCATGATTCTAAAAGGAGGTTTAAGTAAATTAAGAATCCAAAAGCATCAAATAGCTTTTTATAACTTCCTAGAGGATCTTCTGGGAAGGATTTGCCTCACAAAGGCCATCTGCAACAGTGCAGCACACGCTTCAGAGCTGCCAACAGGTACTGCCGCGCTCAGCGAGATACTCTAAGCTACACATTCGCTGTGTCTGCTGATGAGAACGGTATTTTATTGAAACTACTGGGGAAAAAAAATCAGGTAAAACTATGTAGTAGTCTATTAAAAAAAAATCAAGCAAGACTTTTCAAACAATGTTGATTACAAATGTAAGCCAGTTATTCCCCCTCTAACCATTTTTTTCATTTTGTCTTAACTATGATTTTATTCTGAAAACAGGTTCTTTGAAGCACCAATCTACAAGTTCCACATTTATTAGTTCTCGGTAACCTCCTTAACAAAACTGTGAACTGAACACCTTTGATTAACTGCCAATATTGCTCCTTCCAAGAGAGACTCAAAGCAGCCCCCTTCCTCAATCCCTCTGTTGTCAGAAGTGCTCTGCAGGGGAGACGTCTCAGCTCTCCTTGCAGAAACCAAACCCAGAGCTTAATGCTGAGCTCTCGGCGCTAGGTGCGGCAGCTGCCTCCGAACGGAAGGCATCTTTTATGTCTGTAATTCTAAGTATGCATATAAGAAATTGCATTTAACTCCTTCTAGGAACATGTGAGCCCTAACCATATATTTAGCAAGAACAAATAAAAAGCTGAAAGAATTGCCATAACTGACACAAAAGAATAAGTATATAATTATGAAATTGTTTACACTCTTCTAGACTAGAGTCACACTTCAAGCTTCAGATTTTTTCACACTTCTGTGAAAATAAACATTTTAGAATGACTTAAGCAAAGCAAAAAGGCAAAATATACTACATCTATATATTCTGGTGAATTTAGGAAATAACTTTTTTACAGTAGCTTAAACTTGAATTATTGATGTTCTAAAATATATTGTTAGATAATTAGGCATATCCTAGATGATATCTGAAACTTCATTCTTCAAAAGCTTATTTTAGTAATTTAAAATTCATCTAACAAGCTCGGTTTCCGTGGATGAGAAGTCCTAGACTGACAGAAGACTGAAGTATTGTAGTTTTCCATAGAAGGAGTAAGCAAAATATTTCAGCAGTAACACATTTTCTTCAAGCCACCTTAAATACGCTGTCTAAACTTGTCCCATGAAAACCACTATCAATAAAAAAAAAAAAAAAAATTACACTGCCAGAAACAGTCCTGAATTTCCACAAGAGACAGGTATGTTATTTCTTTCCGTAACCTCAGCGGTCACCAAACTGGATCCAAACCACCAAGTCACATAAGGCCACCAGCACTGGCCCAGATTTGGTGACGTGGAAGTTAAGACCTCCGGTTCTCCAGTTTATTATGTTCTCCTGACGCCAACACAAATAAGCAGGTGCAAATCGTAAACCGTGTAGGAGTGTTAAACTTCAGGAAATTCATTACTGCCCAGAGACTGTTTTGTTCAATATTAAAATGCTGCTTCCGAATTCTTACATGAGCGTCCAATCTTAACTACCAATTTAGATATTTCGTATACATCGCAGACACTCTGAAAAACATCGTTTCCTCACACAAAAATCATCATCTCCTCCAAGTTAAACTTTTCCACCTACAATATGCTATTCATACCCTGCCAGCAATACTCATCCTGAGGGTTCAGAGAGATGCAAAGTCACCATTCAAACAGTCACTTCTAAAGACATTTGAAACATTATTCTGAGAATATATGGTGTATTTTAGGCACAGTTATATTACAGCTGTATTTCAAGGTGGATCTGTTACAGAGTTCTGTTTTTGCACAAAGCTGGATCAGTGAGATATATAAATCCAGATATAACAATCCATGTGTATATGCATATATGCAAAAAACCCACTAAATACAAGAATTGGACACCCACACGCTACTTCAGTGTAATTTAAAAGAAAATATTTTATATAATCCAGGAAACTGCAGTGTTTCTAGAATTCTATATGCAGAATTTGTATTTGCAATACAGGGACTAGAGGCATATAGATAAAATACCTGCAAAGAGCCGGTAGGTTCTTTGGCCTTTAAAAATTTTACTTTTCACACCAGGAGATAGTAGCTCTGGAGGAGGAAAAAAGTCACAAAGGCAATAGTTAGCAAGGTTAGAAATTCAAATTTTAAAGGGATCAATTATTTCTAAGAGAAACCAACACTAGCATAAAGGAGAAAAAGTATAATTAAAACGTCTTCTGAAGCCTTTACAGAATGGTCATGGCTCTGACACCTGGTAATCAAGGGAATGAATTTTGAGGTTTGCTGAACACTAACATTTATGGAAGGTTTAAAAATACCACAAAAGACACCGAAAAATCGGGGGGGGGGGGGGGGGGGGGGGAAAAAAAAAAACACATTTTTTTTT